TAGTTTAAAAATTCTAAGAGAAACAGAAAAATCCGATCTGTTGAGCTAATAACAGCAAATCAAAACAATTTTGTTTATTTATTGAAACACTAAGTTTTATTGGTCATAAATCAAATCTATAAATCATCACACTTATATCTGTTTGTTTGTTTTAGATTTTTATATCAAACAAAAAACTATAACAAACAACTAATTATTTATTTTAGATGTGATTGTTAATTAGTTTTTTAAAGTAATTTTGAGACTCTAGAATTTGAGGATTTTAAGTAACTTTGGTACAACTAGGAGATTTTATTATTGTGTGTCACCTTAACTTATTATTAATATACTCTTTGATCATATATATATTTGAAGCAAGCGTGTCCCGGTCAAAACTTCAATACATAGAAAATAATCAGTCAATATATAAATACCCTAATACTCTTCGATCATATATATATTTGAAGTGGCCGTCTCCCGGTCAAATCTTCGATTCATAGAAAATATATTACTCTTTTTAGTTATAGGTTTTGCTTCTAAAGATTCAAAGAATTTTCGATATATATCTATTTCATGAAATGGTGACTCCTACACACAATGAAGACATATAAAGAAAAGAAGATTAAAACGATGAGAAAACAAAGATGAAGACTAAACCAAAAAAAATCGTAAAACAAGTAAAATAAAAAAACATATGGACTGCAAATAAGAAAATTCTAGAAGAAATAGAAAAATTACTTTCAAGGTAACTCTGAAAATCATAAAAATATTATCCAACACATTAGTTTTCTACATGTATATAAGTTTAAAAATTTAGGAATCATACATATAATTAACTTTTAATAGATTGACTTGTTGTCTAAGAATTTATCTTCTTCGTCTAAAACATTTTATACCCGCAAGCGGTGCGGACCAGTCACCTAGTTCCCATTAAAATCCACTTGGCACATCAAGCTATGTTAAAATAGACTGAATACGAAGTCGAATTAAGCTAACAAATTTTTTAGCTATAGTTAACAACTAAGTAATTGTAGTTGAT